AAAGTTGGTGAAAGCTAGTGTTTTTTATTACTTATAATACAAATTCCTCACAAATTACACCTATTTAATGGTATTTACGAAGTACAATATTTAAAATTCGTTCCAATATTTTATTGGTCTTTAGTGTGTTAGCTATGGAAAGTCATAGACCCTTTTATATTGCGATTGCCCCTTAATCCCTTTACTAGGGTCATTGTTCAACTTAAATTATATACAATCAGACGACGCAGATTTTACCCTTCCTTATCTTAATTGTAGGAAAGGTTTTAATATAAAATAATGTGGCATTTATGAGGTAACTAGTTTTTAGTATTAGGTTTATTGTTTTAGAAATACTTTAGAAAGTTTGATCAGAAGAAAAGCTAGCTTTCCCCTGCGACTCCGTCCGCGTGGAATTAAAAAAAAACAAAAGCAAGTAGCCTATGTTCCCTTCTTTTACATCTATGCCAAATTTCAATGTCAGTAAGAAGTTATGTTTTTTTAGAAGTGTTTTATAATCTACAAAATCCGACCTAATGTTTAAGGAATATTTTTATGGACTGTATCCTAAAGTGCCTAATTTGACGTATGAGGTGACGTAGGTTGGCTTATCGATATTTTTAAAGTAAGCAAAGTGCTAACTTGTATGTCATTTTTATTGTCAACCATTTAAGTCACAGGTAAATAACAACTTTCATAGTACTAAATTGTATACAAAACGAGATTATATTTTAAAAGCACAAACAAAGCTTAACTTATTCCTAAGTATAGAAAACAAAGCACTTAAGTGGATGCTTTAAGAACCGTTGAAGTGTTTTAATGGTTAGACTTTAATTTAATTTTTTCTTTGCCTTCACGACCAATTATCTGAATTTGTGGGATTCTTTGAACATTTATAATTTGTCGGTACCAATTAATATTCGCTTTGTGTTCTCATAAGCAGTGTACAATGCGTTAAATAATTATCTTATCTATAACAAAGAAATTGATGGTTCTAGAATAATATGGAAGCTAATGAGCTGATATTTTTGTTCTATTAATTCCTTGTCTTAGGATCCTGTCAGACAGACTAGTGCGTAGGACAAAACTTTTTAACGCAAATAAAATTGAGCCTTATGCGATTGAAGCAAGGTTAAATTTTACTTAACGCTTCTATTTTACTCTTGGATTTGATAAGTCGTGTAAAGCAAATTTATACCTTGTTACAATTAGATAAAGCTTAAAATTTGCGATATAAAATCTGCTCTGCTCTATGCTCCAGTCTGTCTAGACGGATTTTTCGTAGTCATATGCTTTTTTCGCACTAGGCCAGTAATTTAGTCTAGTCGATTACCGAGTAATCATATTTCATACTAATATTATAAATGCGAAAGTTTAGATGGATGGATGTTTGTTAGAGTTTGTAGCGTAAAGGGCTGAACGAATTTCGATGAAATTTGGTATCGATGTAGAGGATAGTCTGGGAGAACACGTTGGCAACTTAGTTTTTTTTTTTTAATTCCACGCGGACGGAGTCGTGGGCGAAAGCTAGTTTAGTAAATATAACACTCTCGTCTTCATGATTTGCTTCAAACTAAATACAATTAATTATATTTACATCTGGTTTTGAGGATTTATTAATAGACAGCGTTAGTGAGGATCATGAAAAAAATGTCCAGGCTCTTGACAAATCAGCTCAAGGGGGGTCATGACCCACATGTCCTACCCCTGGATCCGCCGTTATCCTCTATACATTGTTGAATCTCTTTGCTCGTTATTTACGTTATTTTTCCCGTTTAGTTAAAATATTTTCTCTGTACGCGACTAAATTAAGAGCCTTGTTCGAATTAGGCAATAAAGTAAATCAATAAAATTTGTTCAGCTTTCCAAACTACATAAATAATCAGCTATTTTTGTCCTATACATTTTTTATTACATTTTTTAAACAATTCAATTACATTTACTTGAAAGAGATTTTTTCTTTAACGTTTTTTATTCTTTTTGTCGACGATAAAATTAATAATTATAAGTCCGTTTAGGACGCGTTTCGTGTTATCTATAGATAATACTTTTATAATCCGTATATTTACTTTGGCTTTGTTAAAATATATATTTCATATAATCGATGAGATATAAAGTGTCGAAGTTAAACCAGAGTCATAAATTTTTGACTACTGTGCAATAAACGTTTATGATAAAGTAAAAAAACAAAAAATGTATAAAAATCATTTATTTTCAAACGGTTTATGTCATTGTTTAGGACATTAAATAAAGATGTATAAAAGCGTGCATTCCTTTGACTAAACTGTCGCACAACTGTGCGATTGTCGATTGTTTTGCAGCCAATCCAACTTTTTAGTCGCACAACTTAAAATCGAGTAGTGTGTACATATAATCAGTTGAGTATTTAGTTTTCTTTCATAATTAACTGAATGTAAATAAAAATCTGTACAGATGAATGAACTGATTTTGAAATTAAACAAATGTTTTACTCTTAACTTATGATATTTTATGTATTAAGGAGCGTCGGTGGCTCAGTGGTTTCAACACTTGACTTGTAATCTACAGGTCTTGGGTTCGAATCCCGCCATGTACCAATGTGATTTTCGATTTTTCGATTTTTCATATGTACATAATTTACCCGACGTTCTTACGGTGAAGGAAAACATCGTGATGCAACCTGCACATATCGGCGAAGAAATTCAAAGATATGTGTGAAGTCAACCAACCCGCACTTGGCCAGCGTGGTTGACTATGGCCTAGTGACCCCGTATTAGGGTAGGCTCCGAGCCCCTCGGTGGGGACGTAAGTGAGCTGGTGATGATGATGCAGATTTTATGTATTAAATAAGTAGTGACATTTTGAATTGCTAACATAATAATTTGTAAGTTCCCTGGTTGATATTGTCTCCATTTAAGTGTCATAAGTAAACATAATGAAATTGTCAACGATCGTCATTTATCTAAACCTATTATCGAAAACCCGAATAAAATCTGCTGACGCGAGGTAATCGTAAAGTTCTTTGTGGTTCCAACCTTTCAATAATAGCAGCATTATCGTCTTGACCTCTCCTTTTACCAATAAAATAAGCAATTACAATCATAATTGAAACTAAGACGAAAGAACCTACTGCCACTAATGTAATGGTCCAATGATTCCAGAATTGAAATGCTGGTGTATCTGAAATATCGATATCGGATGGTGTTGAATACATATCGCCGTTAATATCACCTGATCCATCATCCCCAGATCCATTTTCATTATCTATTCCTGATCCATCTTTATTATTCCTCCATTCATCTATAATATCTCTTGGTAATTGTAAATTGTCTAAAAGTAGAGATTCGGATTTATCTATTTTACTACTGTTCCATAAAATTTCTTCATTAAGATGTTTAGTTTTGACGACATGTTTGAATGAATCGATTATAATTATTTCATTGTCCGCAACACGTCCTTGAAGATTCAACTGAAAAAAAAAATAATTTACTTTGAATATATTGAAAAAAAGGGATTCAAGACAGTGTGTCTTATTTCATATGCAAGTAATAACCTTAATTTTACATCCATATACTAGCTGTTGCTAGCGACTTCATCTGTGTGGAATTATATTGAAAGATATAGCCTATGTAACTCAATATCGTTTTTATTGTTGAAAGAATTTTATATAAGGACTAGTAGTTTTAGAGTTATTTCAATCAGTACAAATACAATTCACTCATTATTATAACATTAGTATAGATCATCTTGTTAACTGCCTTATTCTACTCCCGTAGGGTCGGCGCACCGGGCTTTTGTCATCCAAATAACTCTATCATCCGTCATCTCAGTCATCACTCCCTTCTTGATAATATCTTCTTTCACGCAATCCATCCAACTCTTTCTAGGTCTACCTTTACCGGTTTACCTGAGTATGTGTATAATATTAGTATAGATATAGACGATAATTTAAAACTAATAATAAGCAATTAAATCTTACATATCCAGTGATATTTTTGTTGATCGCAATATGCAGCGTATTCCATCCCGGAGTATACTCTTCACTAGATTTATTGTATGCGTAGATAACTACAGGCGTTTCCAATTCATCAAAAACTGTTACACGCAAACCACTCTTTAATGAACTTAATCGAACATAAACAGTTATTTCTAAAGCACTATTTAAAAAGAAAACGATTGAAAACGATGAAACACAGCAATCATTCGTCGAGATGATTCCCTTGTTATTTTCTGTGTTTGTAGAAAATACGCTTAACATTTGATACTCTATTAAATACCATTTTCCATCACTGTGACAATTTCTGTTATCGAAATATATATTAAAATCTTCGTCAAACGTATAATTGACACCTAAAATTTCTTGCGATAGCACTGATGAGATAACTGTCGTCAACGCAAATAAATGTAACATTTCCTCATGTTTGAGACAACTTACTATTAACAATTTACAACACAAAGTGATATTATTAACAGATTAATAAGTATAAAGCTTGTTTATGGCTATAATAAAATTGTATCTAGACTTCGTGAGTTTTTTTTGTTTAATTATAGTGCGTTTAAATCTAATCAGTACAAATAAGATCTGAGATATCAATATCGGTGTGACAAACACAATTGATGCATTTTTTGTGTATTATATTTTTTAAATAGATATGAATGTTGAATGTCAAATGTACTTGCTAATGCACGCCGCTGATAAAAGTATCCTCAATTAAGAGAGCTATTTTATCTAAGCTGTAGTTAGTATAGGAACCGATTTTCAGATATCGGATTCATAATACAGAATTTTTGATAATGTTACCTTGATTCTAAATATATTCTCGTGTTCTTTGCACTACAACTAACACAATATATTTTGCTATTTGAGTCTATGGACTCAACGCAATTATGATTGCAAAGGTCATGTTTAGTTTTTTTTTTTGAATAATCTATGTATAATATTTTGAAATCAGAAATGTTTACACTGCCAACAAAGGTAACTGTAAAAAACTCCGGTAGTATTTAAGACATTTATTGTTTAAAATTGAAATTCACTACGTTCTTGTAGCTTTCAAAAAGCCTTTTTCTCTCTGTCAGTCATTTTAAAAATAAATAATCTTGTTGGATATTTCGTTGAATTGCATTTATTCTTCTATTTTAGTTACACCTTTTTCATCTAAATCATCTTCTTCAAGCTCATCACCTAAATGTAAATCGTATTCTTCACCAGAACCTTCTCCGCTGCCATCATCAAATAGTAAATCGATTTCTTCGTGTATGTTTCCTAATAATTCATCTGGTTCATAAACTTTGGCTATATTTAAATTGTCTTTTTTCCAGTCTACAGTAGGACTAGCGACATATTTAAAGGAATCCACAACAACAATTTCATGGTCCTGACTATGGCCAATTAGATTAATCTGGAATAAAAAAAAACATGATTCGTCTACAGTAACAAAGGACACTTTTCTTAAAGATTTCGTATAACATTTCTGTATAAAAATTTCAAGTTGGTCGAACAATTCGTACAGAATTGGGCTACAGAATGAAAGTTATTTTAAACTAGGTGTTGCCCGTGACTTCGTTTGCGAGGTATTAGAAAACATACGAACTATATAAATAACAAAAAGCTACGTATCGCTCAGGATCCGGACATTTCTCGGGGGTGAACCTTATCCCATGTGTACTCCAGACTTTGTTTTATGTCTATGCCAAATTTAAATAAGATATGTTGAACCGTTGCAGAATGATCTACTAAACATTTAAAAACTAAATTCATGAATCTCACGGGAACCGACACTATTCCCGGGATGAAAAATAGCCTATGTGTGCTTCCAAACTATGCTCTAAACCTGTGCCAAATTTTATAGAGATCCGTTCAGCCGTTTAGGCTACAAACGTTAACAAACATCCATCCAGCCATCGTAATGTTGGAAAAATTATGATGCAATGTTCTTAACAATGGTATACTTACATATCCAGTTAAATTTGTTTGTATAGCAATAGAAATTGTACTCCATCCAAGCTTATAATTTCCATTATTTTTATTATACCAATACGCTACTTCAGAAATACCATTCTCATCAAGAACATTGATTTGCAATCCACTTTCCGCAGCTGTCACATCAAGAAATACATTTAAATCCAAAACGCTGCTATCAAAGAACACAATAGGAAAAGATGTTGCGCAACTATTTTTCCTCGATCTTATACCTTTCTGGCTGAACGGTGAAGAGATTTTCAAGTCGATATAATCCACAAGACTCCAATTATCATGTTTGCCACAAGATCTATTATCAAAGATCCTTTCGAAGTCATCATCGAAGGTATAGTGTACACCGATGAGATCCTGAGAGAACACACCGGAGAAGAGGACTCCGATAAACGTGAGCCCCAACATGACATCTTCTAATGTCGACGAAGTCACAATGAAAACTAAGTCTATCAAGTGATAGCTTTTAGCATAATACATTTTAATAATGTTCAATGGAAAAGAATCGTAATTACAGGACACGGTAATAATTGAAATCTTATCTGAAGAATTGTAACGCTGTTAATTGACAATACCAATATTTTTAATCATTAATGAACTAGTCAATGTTAGTCTATTTTTGTTCCTATGAGTACTTTTATTTTATAAATAGCATTATCTACAATAGATAAAAATAGCGAAATAGAATCGAGATCGATAGTTAATAGTTGTAAATATTAATCGATTCATATCTTTGCTAAATTTGAATTGAATTGATTTTTATGTTCGTAATCGTTTCTTTTTATGTTCCTTTTGCTTTTTTAATTTCTCGTCTACGTTTACTAAGTTAACTTTTTCTCTTTTCTTAATTCCGTCTTTTACTTTTTCGTTAACCTCTGTTTGGTCGCCTCTCGTTATATTCTGAATGAACCCTTTGATTTCGAGACATCCTAATAGTACGGTTATATTGATTTTGGACAAATAGGTTAAAAATCTGTAAAAAAAGTCTTGCGTACCATAATGAAAAGAAACGTGGATCATAGATAGTTAAATTATCTTAACATATAAGGGTGAGTTGCACCATATCACCATGTCGTTAAAGTTAAAATTATTTGTAACGGTAATATTTGGAATAACCTTAAAATTTACTAAGGGTGAGTTGCATTAACTAAATATAAACCTTAACCAGCGCATTCCCGATGGTTACGTCTACGGATGTTCATGATTTTCGCTGCACCAGTTTTACGCTGGTGACAATGACGTCATATTTGACGTCATCTACAAAAAAGTCTTCTGCGTACAATATTGTGAATAAATGTAGTTCATACATAGTTAAATTATCTTAACATATAATTTATCAATGAAATTTACGTAACTTTCCTGTTGTGATAATTCTGTAAAGTTTTCCTTATTTTATTTTCAAGAGTGATGATGCATTATACTCTGACATGAAATAGATCTTAAAAAATGATAGCATATCATAATATACTACTGTTAATATTGAATATTAAAATATAAAGGATGTTCTTAATTAACCAAAAGATAGTAGATCAATTCGATAGGTTTTTATGTAACAAAATAATTTGCTAAACAATTTTGAAAGACAGAAAACCATTCTTGTACCATCATCATATTTTTCCTTATCCTACTCCCGTAGGGTCGGCGTAACAGGTTTTTGTCCACATAACTCTATCATACGTCATCTCGTCAAAACCATTCTCGTATATATTATTACGGAAATGTTTTTTTCTTCTTTATTTTGAATTCCCAAAGATGAAGCTGCACAATTCTTCTGTGTATATTTTATGTTCGGTTCAACTGTATGCAATTGTCTATTGTCGATTAGATTTTAAGGCGATTTAGGCGAAGGTAGGCCTCCCGCAAGATGGACCGATGACCTGGTTAAGATTGCGGGAGTGCACTGGATGCGGGCGGCATAGGACCGGGCATCGTGTCAATCGATGACGGAGGCCTACGTTCAGTGGACGACCTAAGACTGTTATTGGTGCTGATGATTGTCGATTGTTTCGGAGCCAATTCAATTATTTAGTTGCACGACTAAAAATCGAGTTATGTGCGCACCTACATATAAGCTCATGGGAATCAAAGCGAGACTAAACAGTAGTGCCATGCGATAGTTTAGTTTCAGCTGTGCGCACGCTTTAAAGCCACGTTTAAAGTCTTTTGATTAAAAAATTGATGCCTGTCAGATTGTAAGTAGCGCTTACAAAGCGAAGTTATTAATGTGCGCTTTAAGTATTCATCGAATATTTACTGATAAAATTATTAAAGCAATGTTTAAATCAACACAATTGCATATTATTTTAATTCATGCCTTTTAATTGTTAATAGCAATTATGATAGAGTGAATATTTGCTAAGATATTTACGTCAGATTTATAATCAAAGATTAATTAGGGTAATAATTTTGTCAAATGAAGTTTGCAAGAAAACTCAAATTATATTTACCATCCTTTTATTAACAATCATCGTATATTACTAGTTAAAATCTTAATTACAACTGTTTGTCATAGTATTGGTAAAATAATTTTTGAAATTGGCCCGAATGTTTTTGTGTTATTCACTTACAAAAATACAAATGTTTCCTCTTTATAATATTCAGAGTTCTAGTATTTTTTAATTAGAAACGTTTGGGCCCTAATAATTCGACAATTATGTTATCTAACATTCTTTTTATTAGTTGTATTGATGTTGTGACTTCTGATTATGAACTGGTTTGAAATTATCATCAAAATAAATACTTTGATATTCACCATTACAAGCGTGAATATGTCGACAGTACTTACATATGTTTAGTTTTAATATTCCAAATAGTTTGGCTATAAAAATACCCATTTTTGGCCTCTTTTATCTTTATTGATTTTAATCACTATACAAAGATTATGATCATTTGATAAAATGATAATCTTTTGATTATCAAATAATCAATTTTATCGATTTATTCTTTGTTGGATTTAACTATTTTTTGTTCGGTACACATAGTAACACGTACAAAGGTATATAAGCCAATTTATTAGGAACCTTGAACTCCAGAAGCAGACACACTACTTAGGTATAACAATAAAAACGTGCACAAACGTTTAAGATTTATATGGTAAATACACAAGTAAAGTTTAACAGTGGTAGTGCCCGCTTTAACATCTTAGCACTGCAGGGCCGGCACGCCCGGTGTAATACCACGACCACACAGAAGACAGGCGTGAAATGAAAGCAATTCCGTGTTTCGTCTGATGAGTGTGGTGCCGGAGGCCTAATTTAAGTCCCTTTCTCTTTACCACCCTTTTCTTATAAGGGAAGGGGAAGTGGATTTGACGGTGGAGGAGATGCATAGAAAGGGGAAATATGCTCTTTATGTGCGTCTCCTCCTCCGTCGTATAAGGGTAGGCAACGCATCTGCAATTGCGGATGTCTATGGGCACCGTTCGCTTTGCCATTTTGGCGGCGCGCCGCTTGCTCGTTTGCCACCTTATGCTATAAAAAAAAATATAGTTAAAACACATCCAAATTTCTGTTGCCAAACGATGAAATACGACGATTAATTTGACCGACTTCCCAAAAGAAGGAGGTACTCAATTCGTCTGTATGTTTTTTTTATGTGTGTTACGGCATAATGTAGTAACGTTTCTGTAATTCTCTGAAATATTAGGCCAAAATGAAGTCAATTTTGTTCATTCTGCGCTATATGTTAGGTAAAATTAGACTAAAGTAGGTAAGAATTGTACCATAGTCGGCTCTGTCAGTCGCTTTCTAATTGCAACGCTGAACGCAGCGATATTGTGCTATAAATTACGTGCGATATTTTTAGGGGCTAATGTAAATAAGATTCTTATCTTGCGATAACGTTACACGAATTGATGTAAAAATAAAATTGAAGAAAAATATTCTACAAATTTAGAACAATTTTAGAGAACGGCTTTATTTTCTTTGAGTTAAAAAAAGTTACATTATATACATAACTATGTTTTGATTCCAATTATTTTATATATTTTATTTACACTTTAACAGGGCGTTTGAACTTCTCTCCCCTGCTCTCTGTGGCGACGTTTATTTGTAAAACGCAAACAACAAACAAAACAACCACAAAATTGCTGGACCAAGCCAAGGCCTACAAAGGGCTGTAGAGCTAAAGAAGAAGAAGAAGAAACAATCATTTGTCTTTTTTCTGTATACCTAAACATATTACGTAGGCATATACTATGATAAACTTATCAAATAGAAAAATAATTAGAAGAAAATGTTATTCACTAGTGTATCATTCTTTCATGTTATTCAAAACTATACCGAAATTTGAACATGATTGGGTTCAATATCCTTTATTAAGTAGACATTAGAAATAATTTAGATATAATGATAAGTCTGGTATACAAGAAGATAAGGCATTTTTCGAAGTAGTAAATTAGAAACAGGAATGTCGTCTATTTGTAGTATAATAGTTGAATTATTAAATTGAAGATGTTTTTATTATTTAAAAACGTGAAACATTTATTGTAAGATATTTGGAATATCTCATTACAATGGTGATGAGTAATTAATTAGTTTGTAATGCAAGCGTTGAATAGGAATTTTGATGTAGTTCGTTCATTCACATCGTAATAGTGACTATTAGGTGCAGTAAGACATGGTTTGTGATGACACAAAGTGTATGAACACTGCCGGCCAAAAGTTTGAGACTACTTTGTACACAGGTTATATAAAATCTAGGCAGATTTAATAATAAATATTTTTAACAATACACTCTTTAAAAAAATTAAATAACTACAATACATTTTCAAAACAATTTTTATAACTTAAAATAAAAAAAAAAACTGCTTAAAAATTAAATTTAAAAAATAAATAAGCTTAAAATTAACAAGTCCCTCATTAATATCACTAACAGCCATCACAAATTAAAAAAAAAATCTATTATAATCTACATTACATATTTAATAAAAAATCGAGATAAATACATCCTACGGCGTACTTCTAGTACTGTAATCTCCATGAGGACTTCTCGCTCGAGGCAAAACAATTGGTCGCGGGAGATCCTCATAATCGGCAAAAGATTCGAAGTCTGTAGAGAATTTTCTTCGCTGTCTCCTCAAGCCAATGATATAGAAACAAGCGCAGAATAAAACTAACAACAAGATTATTAGAAGAGTTATTAACACTATTGTTAGAGGAGTCCAGAAGCTGTTAGTATTTTCAAGATTTTCAGTGTCTGGTTCAGTTGTATTTTCAGTTACTGTTATTGTGCTGTAAGTATTTTTGTCATAGTCTGTTGTTTTATCATTTGTAGACGTATCGTCAAACGAAGTCGTAGCACTGTCGGTTGATGTTAACTCATCTGTGGTTGTCGATGACTCTGTTTGTGTTGATGTTATTTCGAATACGGTTGGAGTCATTGTTTCGTCACTTGTCCAGTTATTTTCAGTAGTCGAAATGCTACTAAGTTCTGATTCGGTAAATGTTGGCGTAATCGTTACAGATTCTGTAAATCTTGTACTGGAGTCGTCGGTGGTTTCGGTGAAGTAAGGATTTTCAGTTGTTGAAGGTGTATTTACATCATTAGTGGTTGCATCACTAGTGCTCCATATTTCTGATGTATTTTCATCAGTTACTTGAGTAGATGTTGAATCTGTAGTGAAAGTACTGGAAGCGTCAGTAATAGTTGTACTGTCTGTATCTAAAACACTTGTTGTTGTTACAACATCAGTTGTACTGTCAGAGAAAATTGAAGTTTCAGTTGTTGAGTCGGTATCTAATACCAACTGGGATGTGGTTAGCTCAGTAGGATTTGTGCTTTCTATTGTAGATCCATCGGGTGTTGTAATGTCTACGTTAGTTACCATTTCGGTAGTCGTACTGTCAGAGAAAATTGGAGTTTCAGTTGTTGAGTCGGTATCCAATACAGATTGCGTTGTTAGTTCAGGCGGAATTATCATTTCTGTTGTTGACATCTCGAGTGTTGTACTTTCTACGTCAGTTACCATTTCGCTAGTCGTACTATCAGTGAAAGAAGAAGTTTCAGTCGTCGAATCGGTATCTAGTATAGA